ACCTGGGAATCCTACTTAGATCTGCAATCAAATTTTCCTACATTAGACCTTGAGGGCAAGGTCGCTCTAAAGGAAGGGAGGATTGTCAAAACTGTTGAAACAGACCAACAGAAGGCAGTTAATCAGTTTTACAAGAGGAGGCCACATCAGCACAACTAACCATCCACTTGTAACAACTTCCATCCAATTGTAACAACTGCCATCCACTTGTAACAACTGTAACAATCAAGATTGTAACACAAGTAGTAGAGCAGAAAAGGAATAGGACATTGACTCTTTCAGCATTAAAACTCTCTCTCCCCTCTCTCTCTCTCTCTCTCTCTCTCTCCTTCCAAGAATTCAGGAGGTTGGCCCCTCGAAGAGTCCTGAGTTAGGCAGGTTCCTAACACCGATATAGGAGATGGTCATGCTATTGATGTTGAAAGAAGTGGAACTGTGGGCTAGAGTCATTGTGCCCTGCCCCAATCTGAGAGCACAGTGGAAGATCATTGTCTTTGAGGAGGTGGTGATTAGAAAGATAGGTGTGGACTTGGGTAGGAGGGGGGAGGCTAAGAATATTTGAGATGCTGCTGAATCAATGAAGTCCAAAAGACCCTGCAGAACGTCAGGAGTAAGATACTCTCATACTGTTCATGTTACCAAATTTCTCTCAACTAAAAGGTGGTTTGATTGGGACTGGGCCTACTAAGAAACACAAGAAGGTTTACAAGAGAAGGGGCAGCAGTCTTACAAATTCGACAAATGAAGGTGCTGCTGGTAACGACTCCCGGGCTGGTTCTAACCTGGACAAGCAGTTGGGGACTCAACAGTGGGGGGAAGCATTAGGGAACAATTCTATTCCTCTGTAAGAGAATGCGATAAAATCATGGAAAGGAAGGTGGTGAGTTCAGGAAGTATCTCCATTGAGGGTGGCTGAAAAAGATGTAGAGATTGGAAAAAGCTTGGGTCTGTTTTTCTAGGGTGGCGAGGAATTTGCTAGGAAAACCTTCGAAGAGTTTGAGAGGAAGAAGAGAGAAGAACCCCGAAGAAAGGCAAATAGAGGTGGGAGGTGGAATGAAGGTGACGACGATCAGGAGGAGGTGTTTGAAGGGGAAGAGTAGGGCCTTGATCCCACTAGGATTGTTGATGCTCATGTACTAGTCTGTCTCTTTATTTTAAGTCTTGTAGTTGGTGGAGGTTCTATGTCAGCAGTCAGTCTTTTTTTTCTCTCGGGTGGTATCTTATCACCTTATGTGCTCGTCTTTTTATTTCAAGATCAACTGGGAGAGGTCTTGTCAGCAATGCTTTTCATTTCTGGCCAACTCTCTCCTATCTGATCTCCTAGTTCCAGCCTCTCCAAATGGTTTAGCCTTTTCCTTGCATTAGCCATATTGTGGAAAAAACTAGAATTTTTATCCCCTGCTTTAAGCCACTTAACTCTGGCTCTTTGCCTCCATTTCACTTCATCTTTATAGGCTAGCTTGTCAAGGGACATTTTTGCTGATACTCTTCTTCTTCTCTCCTCTTCTGATGAAGGGCCATTTTCTTCAGCCAAATCCACTTTCTTAAATGCCTCTAAACAATTCTTTTTTTTTTTTTCTCTGATTCTGAATACCTTGATATTCCAGCCTCCAGGATTTCAGAAATTCCTTAATTTGATTGATCTTTTTTGGCAAGATAAAAGAGCTGGTTCCCTCATATTGTAAATCTGACCATTTTGCTGATAGTAAAGGGACCAGCCCTTCCTCTTCAAACCAGGTGTTTTCCGTCTTGAATGGTCATTTTCTAGTCCCTCGAGTTCCACAAACCAGCTGAATGGGGGAGTGATCCAAGACAGGTCGCAGGAGAGCCACCTGTTTTATGTGCTGAAAATTGTCTTCCCAACCTGGAGAAATCAAGAACCTCTCTTTAACTTCATCAAGACTGGGGATTCTTTATTATTTGTCCAGGTGAACTGAGCCTCGAGAAGGGGGGAGGTCCATCAGCTCAAACTGATTCACATATTCTGCAGGCCTTCTCATATCCCTGGTTGTCCTAATTCCTCCCTTTCATTCATCCATAAACCTCACCACGTTGAAGTCCCCTCCTATCACCTATGGGATGGAATTTGCTCCTCTGGCTTCTGCAAGGTTTCAGCTAATCCATTTTCTGATCTCCTTACTCACGTCCCTTGTTATACTAACAATTTCCCTTTATCAGCTGTCTATGTTGCCAAATTCCTAGATGCCCTGATTGCATCCTTGCAATTACCGATTTGGAGTCCCCTCTATCTCAGTCTGTTGTAGCCCCAACATTTTGGCAAATCTTACTCCTTGGTGTAGTGCCAAGATTTCTGCTCTTAAGGAATCTCCAACTCCTACTGGACCTGAGTACAGAGCCATTATCTTACCTTCATCATCTCTGAAAACACCCCCTATTCCAGATGGGCGTGGATTACCTATAGAGCTTCCATCATCCCTTGTGGCTCTCCACATAACCCTTCCACATATTTGGCCTCTTATTTTGCAATAAATCCAAGGTATTAATTTTTTGGAGTACCACTTCCCAGCAAAAGGCCTGCATTTTTGGAGGTACAGGGCTACCCCACACCTCCTTTGAAGGAAAGTTCCCTGCAAGGTTAGAAGTCTGAAGCAAAATATTGTAGAAAGAATAGCAATTGAAAAAAAACAAGAAGGGGAAGGTTTCCAAATTCTTCTATCCCTACAAGATTGATCTAGAAAGACTGCCCCTAACTGAGTAATCAAATCATCAACAAACACTGTTGAGGCTACTTTTCTTTTGTTTTCTGACAAGGAATAACAGAAGGGAATCTATCTCTAAGGGAGTTTTCACCAATCCAAACATCTTCTGAAAACAAGACTTTGTTTCCCGTGCAGACTTCATATTTGAAATAAGAAAGCATAAGAGGCAAAATACCATGAATAGCTTGGGTGGTCCCACTGTTTAAACAACTCGTTGCCTGCTTGGGGTCTGATAGAGAGGTTGGATGGGTTTCAATTGACTATGTTGGGGCAGCACAGGTTGATGCCCTGCATCACTAAACTGTGGAAATATAGGGCTTGACTAAATTGCTTTTAGAAGAAATATCGGTGGACAGTTAAGAGCCCTGAAGGAAGAAGATGAGCAATATCTACAGTGATCCATATAGCCTTGAAGAAAGAAGATGAAAAGCAATATCCAAAATGATCTGTAACTCACTCTCCAGTCTATCCCAGTAGGGTCCAAAAGAAACTCTCTAGAGATCAAGAAGTTCGGATGCTTCCATGGCTTCATGATCTTGAAGGTCTTCCTAAACTAAAATCCCAACAAATTGAATTGCCCAAGAAGGAAATAAAATAGGAGGAAATTTTTGTATGATGACATGGAATATAAACCTTGTGAAACTCAGTTATAGAATCGACTCTCCCCACTGAAGGTTTTCCAAAAATCTAATTTCGTTCACCTTTACCAGGGTTGTACCTCATAAATTTTGGATACTGTTTTTAGTCATATTTAGAAACTGATGAGGTGTGCTACTGTGCTTTTATCTATATTTGTTTTTCTATTATTTTTTGGTCTAGTTAAAACAAGTTAGATATTGAAGGCGGTCTGCGATGATAACAGTACTAAACTACCAAAAAATAAGTTAGTTATTGAACGTCATATTTTTTTACCTTTTAAGTAATGTGCTAATGCTAACAGAAGGTTTTACATTTTGCTACCCATTTTTATTTGATTGGCTAGTAGAGGGTAATATAGAATTGCAGCATGTGATAAACTGTTGTTGCGCAATGTGTTTTTTATCAGTGACCGATTGTTACAAACTTAATGCTTTTGGAACTACTATTCAAGTAAGTATTTTGCATTTCAGGTGGCTGTAAACACTACATTTGAAGATGAGAAGGATTTTTTGAATCACATCATCAAATCGACAAATATGAAATGCCTCACTGCATCGTATGTTCTTACTCTGTTAGGGAAGTCTTTTGTAAGCTTGCTTTTTATTAGACGGTTGAAAAGTGGTAGATTACACCAAATATCTACTGGAGGAAAAACTTTACTTTGTCTGGACCTCTATCCAGACCTAAAATATTTGGACTAGGGTCTGACCTATTAAAAATATTCCCTTTATCTGGATAAGGAGTTAAGAACCTAGTGTTTCAGTTGTCTTATATAGAATATGCTCCTAGTCTGAAGTTGGTGAAATTGAAGAGTCTGTAATGGTTCTGAAAATCTATGGTACCTAAGATATTTATAACCAATCAATCAGTGTTTTTCATTTAAATTCATGTGAGAATTTGATTGGTTAAAGTTTTCTAGGTACAGTACCTTTTTGGTACCATGGGAATTGCCTAAATTTAATGTTCCTAATTAAGAAGTTAGAGAACCTTTTATCTATGAGCATTTGGATAGTTGTTTTAGCTTTCAAGTTTTTCATCTTTTTAGCTTTTTTTTTGTGGATATTTTTATACTTATTTGTCCTCTTTTTCTGGGGATTTTCTTGGGGGCATTCACCTGGTATCTGACCAAAATTCTTTTACTTTCTCTTTTCTTGTCTTTCTTGGCTTGTTGGTTTTAGGTCTGCACTGGATGGAGCTTGTGGATTCCTTGCTGCTAATTTGTATGCGAAGAGCGTTTTTGGGGAGGATGCCCTAGTAAATGTCAGTGTTGAGAAACAAGCAGATGGAAAGCTGAGTGGATACATTCGGATAAGGAGCAAGACCCAAGGGATTGCCCTCAGTCTAGGGGACAAGATCACTCTCAAGCAGAAGGGGGGTAGTTGATGGATATGTACCTACCAACATCTTCCCTTTTCTATGTTGCTTTCATTTGATATTCAACTTTTCTTGTTTCCCTCCACCATTTTGCTGTAATGTCTGCAGGTATTTACAGTCGGAGTTGTAGGATTATTTTCGGCCTTTGTTTTCATTACATCTAGGGAGAGTAGGAAAGTAGTACCTAGGTAGCTAGATTGTTTTTCTTTGGATCTCTCTTCCAATAGTAAAGTTTTAAACGATAGTTTCTATTATGTCTGTATTTCCCGTTAAGATTGGGTTGACTTCATTACAGATATCCAAATTGTAACTAGTCATTATTATTAATCTTACTGTTTTCAGTTATGGTTTCAAACTTTGATTCCAACTTCTATTTCATATTTTGCTGTGGTGCCTAGTGAATTGACTGCCCATTTGTTCTTTATTTATTTATTTATTTTTTTAATTTCATGCAATCCATTAAACCAATAAGGAAACAACAAACAACATTGGCTAAATTATCTCTAACAACATATAAATAAAGGAGGGATTTGCTTTCCTAATGTCTAGCCAAGTGGCACCATAACCCCCTATTTTCTCTTAAATTTTCTAATTCTTATTTATTTCTTTAATTATTTTTAATTTATTAGAGATACTCTCCTAAATTATCTCTAATTCTTTTTTATCCTCTCCCCACTTTTTATCCATATCTATCTAAAGAAAATTTGAATTAAAAAACTTTATAATTATTTTAATATTACAACAAAATTATATACTAACTTTAAAATACTTATTAAAAACACAAAAAAATAATTTTAAAAGATTTAAAAAGATTTATATTATTAATTGCTCTATATTTTTACAAAATTCATCATGAAATTATGTACTAACAATATAAATTATAATTTTATGGATTATTCAATTTAAGTGTTATTCAAAAAAAAAAATTATTAAAAAGTAAAATATTATTTAAATATTTTCATAAATAATATCTTCAATGAGAAAATATTAAAAATAGATAAATAATTATATAAGAAAATATTTAATATTACATAATAACTTAAAATAATAAAATTCAAATAACAAAAAAATCAAATATTTTACATATTATTTAAATATTTCAATAACTAGATATTTTAATTAACTAAATATTTAACATAACTAAATTTAAATAGTTAAAATAACAAAAATGTGTAATAAATTTAAAAAAATTATTAAAAGTAGAAAAATAAGTATAATGGATTTCATAATATTCAAATTAATAATTATTTAATGTTTTACAAAATTAAACAAAATTATGTGATAATAACATAAATTATAATTTTATGGAATATTAAATTCAATAAATAATTAATACTTTAAAATTTTAAATAATGATACTATTTAAATAACTATATAATATTGTAAATAACTAATTTCACTTATATCAATTAATCATTCTAGAAATTAAATTTTAAAAAAAATATAATATTTACTAATAATAATTTTACAATCTGAATCTATATTTATATATACTAAAATTAATATTTATTGTAATTTTTTATTGTATTTTTGTTATCAATTTTTTTGTAGTAATCATGTATTTTTTATAATGTATTGATTTATATTTATTAGAGACTAAACTATTATTTGGGATTACATTATTGACTGATTTAATATATTTATAGTATTTATTGTATTTTTGTAATTATTGTATTTATTATTGATGGTGCGCGATTTGGTTGTTTCTTTCTAGAGGGCAGCTTGGACGTCAGTTGCTTAGCTGGCCGGTCGAATTGCAAGGAGAGTAAGACTTAGAGAACTAGGGGTGGCTTACCCGGTGTGGGCACTTTGATGCTTAAGTTAGTACTCTTGTTGAGCGAGCTGAATAATTGAATGTTGGAATGCTAGTAAGCAGTAAATCGCGCGTACCTTGTGTCATTGGGGTAGATGCCCTTATATAGGTGAGTTGCTATAAGTCTCACGAAACACCTCCGAGATCCTTGGCCCACGTTGTTAGGAGACCGTTCCGCACAGGAGGTGGACTTCGTGTTCGTCCGATCCGGGCAGGATAAGGATAAGACCTACAGTTGTACGATGTGATCCCGAAGAGTTTGGAGACAACTGGGTTGCTTCTAGAATTTTGCTACGTGTCACCTCGGCTGGTTGGGCCATCCCAAGCTACTCGAACCTTGGTCCTTGTTGAACTGCCCAAGGTGCCTGAGGTACCTGAGGTGACCTGGCCTACTGAGGTGGTAGAAAATGCCAAGTTATTGTCCAATCAGTAGGTCACATCCACATGTCAACTAATTAGTAGGTCGGGCCAAATCACCCCTCATTAGTTGCCCCCCACTCCCAGTGCTAGGGGTCTTGACCCGGTGTGGGGAGTTCATGACGAGCTCAGGTGGAATTGGCCCATTCTTCTCTCGGGTCAAGGTTTGATCTGGAGGTCAGACCATGATGACCCAACCGTTTCGATTGCAAAGCCAAGTCACGTATTGGGGATGCGCTGACGTCATGCGGATTACAAACTCCACGGATGTCAAAATGCACGCTCAACCAATTTTGGCCTTGGGAGGCATGCGATCGATTTTTATGAGAGTCTGGATCATGTTGATATGAGCCGTCCAAGATTGATTACTATGGCTATAAATAGGGTCCTTGGGGTCCCATTTGCCTTGTCTCATTTCGGGTATTCGCGTTCCGGAGGTTGCGCACTATCTTCTAAGTCGGTGGTCTCTGCCTTGTCTCTGAGGTCGTCTCCTTTCTTCTGCCTTGGGTAAGCCTTCTTTTCCTCGCCTTAGTCTGTTTTCAGTAATTCAATTCGGTATGTCTAGTGGTAGCACGGATAGCCTGTTTGAGATGAGTAGTGAGTCCGGTCATGCTGAGGTGGGCACCTCGGTCCAAGACAGAATTTGGCCCGACCGAGATGGTCACATCAGCCCGTATCTCGGAGTCCAGCCCAACCGAGGAAAATACAGTTCAAGAGCGAAAATCTTCTGGTAAAAAGGCTTCGTCCTCTCACTGCACTCGCCCTTTTCGGGGGCCGGACTGCTTTGGTCCTTTGATCTTGACGTCTGAGCGGATTAGTGCTCCTGCCCACTATAAGTTTCCCGACCACTATGGATATAGTCTTCCTCTAGAGAACTTTCCCTAGGAGCATGACGACGGTGAGATCACTGTCTTCAAGGAGCAGTTGATCACCGAGCTCCGGTTTCCTCTTCACCCCTTTATTATCGAAGTCCTAAACTTCTTTGGTGTCACCATAAATCAGCTTCACCCGAACTCGGTTCGTACTATGGTCGACACCATTTCTTTGTTCCATGACCGTGGCCTTAGATATAGATACCTTTACCTCGCTCTGCTCGATCAAGAAGAATCCTGTTGGCCCCAAAGGGGTCAACAAATTCAGTTACTATATCACTTACCGACCTGGATATAAGTTGCTCCATAGATACCCTTCTAAGGTGCTGGCCTGGAAGACTAGGTACTTTACTGTGATCGTTGAAGGGGGGTGGCCCTTCCCAATTCAGTGGAGAACTGCCATCAGTGACCCAAGAGATCGTTTAAGTAGGAAGATGAGAAAGAAGATGCTGGCCTTAGTTGATCTCGATCTGGACTTGGACGACCATCTGGTTGAGGACAAGCTTGTCAAAGCCAGGCTGAGTCCTCCGGGTAGGTTACCACCTTGGCACGCACACACTTAGCTTTTTCACCTTATCTTTTCTCTTATCACTTCGACTGACTTGGTACTTGCTTTCCTCAGGCATTATGACGGGTGTCCCAATAACCAACCTCTTCTCGGGCATGAAAAAGAGGAAGAAGAGTAAGATGACCCGAGATAATACTTCCTAGGAACCTGTAGTCGAGCCCGCTGCTCCTACTGTAACCGAGGACCCTCCAGTCATCAACTTGGTCGAGGAGGACCAAGGAAAGGATTCTCCGCCTTGCAGACCCGAGGCAATCCAAGCATTCGTGCCTCAGACCACTACATCCAGGGTCGGTTCTTCTAGTGAAGGTCCCGAGATGGCCCCAAGCATCCTAAATACCCGGACTATCCGCTTCAAGAGTAGGGATGCGGTCTTCCTCGAGGTCTCTAAGTTTGTTGGGCTGCTTGTCGCTCAACTAGGGGATAAGGCTGCGAGTAGCTGCATGGTGGTATGTCCCAAACCTTGGAACCTTGTCTTCTCCTCGCTCCATTTGTATACTTAGCAAACTTTTCTCTTTTGCAGGTAAACTCAATGATCCATTCCCTTACGCAGCAGTCCAAGCAGCACCTGAAAAAGGGCACTGGCCGCCAAGGTGAGGGTTGAACATGTCGAGGGTGTTGGACAGTTTCTGTATGCCCTTAGCTTCAATCAGTTTTGATGTACTTTTGATATTTAATGTAAATAAATGAAGTACATGTTTGATTCATGTTGTGTGGTATACTTCTGTGTGTAAGACCCTAAAACTGGACACTTAATGAGATTTGTGTTAGTTTTAAATGTTCACAGCCGTT